AAATTATTCACATTATAATTTTCAATTCTTAACTGTGTTCAATCGTGGAAAAGTTTTATTTGGTTTAAATGAAAGTAAAATCTATCAAACAAACTTTGTTTTAATTGAAATTTCTGTCATATGACTTCGTTAAAAGTGCAAACAATGGTTATTTTATAGATTCAATTTAATTGCAATAGTATACACTGCAGATAAATTATTGTAGTTTATCGAATGAATTAAAATTAATTGCATTTTCAGTATTTTTCGAAACTTTGAAACTTAGTTTTTAATATCAAAATAACTGTCCATTGTTTCAGACACTCATGCAAATATATGAAATCGCTTTGAAATTGAGTTTACCTTTTCAAAACGCAAAGTTTGCTGCTGAAAAATATCAGACGTGTAAGGAATCCTTCAGAGTAGATCAAAACAAGGAAATAAGGTCAATGGATCTCAAAGTTATAGGGAGTATGTCTAAAGGTCAATGTGCAGCATTCTGTGTGAAAAACAGTGATAACTGCTGTGAGATTACTTATGTAACATTGAGTGGAGAGTGTAAACTGGGACCCTCTGGTTGCTGTCATACGGAATTTAACAACGTTTCTGGTTCAAACCTTCTACACACCAGTCGTAAATTTAGCGGTAAGTCAAACATGTGCTTTGTGATCTTTCCTTAACCGAGAAACTGTTCTTAATGATAGAAGTATAGAATCCCTTGACATATTACCATACATGCATGCTTTCATTATGGTAAACCCATTTAACTCTACACGTGAAGCTGTCATTATTTCCGCAGCCACAAATCAAACCAGCTTAAGTCTTTACTACTCTCGACATTTTGGGCACGTGACTGAATTAGTATGTCTCCTTTTTACCCTGGATTTAAAGTATTCGAATTGTCATCTGATGAAATTCCTCAGTGAGTTAGGTGGACAGTTTTTTCTACATGCAATAGCTTTTTGTCTGGACACGTCCCTGTATTTTACTTGGTTTCTTACTATCTGACTTTTACCCTGAGCAGCTGGATGGATGTCAGAGTATAGCAGAAATCGCTAATCCAACCTAAAATTCTTATGTTTGTCTTGATTTGTATCGGAGTGTATGTTTGCTACATTTTGTACTTGCTATCTCCTAAGTTTCTAAGAAAGTGTGGAGATATATAATGGTTATGTCTGTCTCTTTGTTCATGATTGATAATTCCTTGTTCATCGTATTACATCTTCAGCAAAAGTGTGGTTATATAGTAATCACTTTGTCCGTCCGCTGCCGCATGTTTTCTGCGATCCATCCTTATCTTGTAAGAATTCTTCCCGTCTAAAATAATTTGTTAGAGGTGCCCGCCTACCTTGCGGGACATATTGACTATATACCTTTTGTTCCTCTATTGATAAGCTTTCGAATGACGTATAAGGTATATCTGTAATTAGGGGCTGAAGGGTCGCAGCAGTCCATTCCATTATTCAAAATATCCATTTCATTATTCAAAATTGGCTATTTCTTAATTTTCACGCGTATTTTGGCATTTAGGTCCTCCGTAACCCCTCTAATAGGCATTGCGGCACATATTGATTATAACCATTTTGTTCCTCTGTCCATAAGCATTCGAATGGTGTATAAGGTTTCTCTGTAATTAGGGGCTGAAGGGTCGTAGCAGTCCATTCCATTATTCAAAATAAGCTATTTCTTATTGTTGACGCGTATTTTGACATTTAGGTCCGCCGAAACTCCTTTAATAGGCGTTGCGGGACATATTGACTATATAACTTTTGTTCCTCTATTGATAAGCTTTCGAATGACGTATAAGGTATATCTGTAATTAAAGAGCTGAAGGGTCGCAGCAGTCCATTCCATTATTCAAAATATCCGTTTCATTATTCAAAATTGGCTATTTCTTAATTTTCACTCGTATTTTGGCATTTAGGTCCTGAGAAACCCCTCTAATGGGCATTGCGGCACATATTGATTATAACCATTTTGTTCCTCTGTCCATATGCATTCGAATGGTGTATAAGGTTTCTCTGTAATTATGGAATGAAGGGTCGTAGCAGTCCATTCCATTATTCAAAATTAGCTATTTCTTATTGTTGACGCGTATTTTGACATTTAGGTCCTCCGAAACTCCTCTAATAGGCGTTGCGGGACATATTGACTATATACCTTTTGTTCCTCTATTCATAAGCTTTTGAATGACGTATAAGGTATATCTGTAATAAGGGGCTAAAGGGTCGTAACAGTCCATTCCATTAATCAAAATATCCATTTCATTATTCAAAATTGGCTATTTCTTAATTTTCACGCGTATTTTGGCATTTAGGTCCTCCGTAACCCCTCTAATGGGCATTGCGACACATATTGATTATAACCATTTTGTTCCTCTGTTGATAAGCTTTCGAATGGTGTATAATGTTTCTCTGTAATTAGGGGCTGAAGGGTCGTAGCAGTCCATTCCATTATTCAAAATAAGCTATTTCTTATTGTTGACGCGTATTTTGACATTTAGGTCCTCCGGAACTCCTCTAATAGGTGTTGCAGGACATATTGACTATATACCTTTTGTTCCTCTATTGATAAGCTTTCGAATGACGTATAAGGTATATCTGTAATTAGGGGCTGAAGGGTCGCAGCAGTCCATTCCATTATTCAAAATATCCATTTCATTATTCAAAATTGTCTATAATTTCTTAATTTTTACGCGTATTTTGGCATTTAGGTCCTGAGTAACCCCTCTAATGGGCATTGCGGCACTTATTGATTATAACCATTTTGTTCCTCTGTTGATAAGCTTTCGAATGGTGTATAATGTTTCTCTGTAATTAGGGGATGAAGGGTCGTAGCAGTCCATTCCATTATTCAAAATAAGCTATTTCTTATTGTTGACGCGTATTTTGACATTTAGGTCCTCCGAAACTCCTCTAATGGGCGTTGCGGGACATATTGACTATATACCTTTTGTTCCTCTATTGATAAGCTTTCGAATGACGTATAAGGTATATCTGTAATTAGGGACTGAAGGGTCGCAGCAGTCCATTCCATTATTCAAAATATCCATTTCATCATTCAATATTGGCTATTTCTTAGTTTTCACGCGTATTTTGTCATTTAGGTCCTCCTTAACCCAACTGATGGGCATTGCGGCACATATTGATTATAACCATTTTGTTCCTCTGTTGATAAGCTTTCGAATGGTGTATAAGGTTTCTCTGTAATTAAGGGATGAAGGGTCGTAGCAGTCCATTCCATTATTCAAAATAAGCTATTTCTTATTCTTGACGCGTATTTTGACATTTAGGTCCTCCGGAACTCCTCAAATAGGCGTTGCGGGACATATTGACTAAATACCTTTTGTTCCTCTATTGATAAGCTTTCGAATGACGTATAAGGTATATCAGTAATTAGGGACTGAAGGGTCGCAACAGTCCATTCCATTATTCAAAATATCCATTTCATTATTCAAAATTGGCTATTTCTTAATTTTCACGCGTATTTTGGCATTTAAGTCCTCCGCAACCCCTCTAATGGGCATTGCGGCACAATCGATAAGCTATATCTATAATCAGGGGATGAAGAATAGCAAAGATCCAGTGAAAATAAAAAAATTACAATGTATAGTATTTTGATTTTTATATATGTCTTGGTATTCAGGTCGTCCATACATTAAAATAAGGTATTTCTGTTAAAAACAGTTAGGGAAACCCACTAGTTTATCCTCCGAAACTAAATAAATAAATAAAGATGAAAATTTCAAAGAGAGTTTTGATTTATTTTTTCTTAGATTAATTTGAATATTTGTTATATAACACCAAAATGACGAATTCAGAAATACGGGATATAGTGTCACAGTCAAAAAATCAATTTTCGATTTCATTATTCACTTTTCAGCTTGAATACTGAAATATGAACTATTTCATTATTCATTATTCATCACTTAACGTTGAATAGTGAATAATGAACTATTTCATTATTCATTATTGAATTTTGAATAATAAAAAATGAATAATGGACGTACTTCAGCGCGGTAAATTGCACAGAGAACCCTATTTGCATCTATTTTGCAAAAAAAGCAGAGGAAATCTAATAAGTTTTCTTAGAGACTCATCAACTCGTATTTTTATAATTTGCCATTATGCACGTCTTTCAACATACTTAATTATACACAAACGGTCACATCATATATCAACAGATGAATTATCCCGTAAAAAAAGAAAATTTGCGGAAACGTTGCATGCGACGCCAACAAAAAGTCTTCTTTTACACTTGAGTAATTTAAATATTTCATAGACATCCATTTCATACCAAAAAAATGCATAATAAGCATGAACTATTGTCAAAGTGTTCAAAAATGTGAAGAACTAAAACAAAGCATCAGTTATTTGATTTTTACGGATGTGTAGTTAAGCATGTGTGCATTTTAGGTACTCCTCATTACGGAATCTTTGATTGTTTGGAGGTCGGTTCAAACCCATTTTTCTGTGATTCGGTATGGATTCAAAATTAAATTCGTGGTAACTATAAAGTAATCTACAAAATAAAAACATAATGAAAACTTTTAGGAGAACTAGGTAGGGAATGCTCACATTATCTGTGCTTATAATGTGTAAAACTGTTGTATTCGCAAAGACTTTTTTTTTTTAATTTAAAGTGAAACAGAGGGAAAGAAGGTTTCATTTGTGCCTAAAACGGGTATTTAATTTGAAATAAATTTTATAAATTCAACTAAATTAATATTCTTGCGATATAAGAGTACATAGATTTGATTGTAATTTTTATCAGAAAAAAAACCTGGTCTGCTCTCACAAAAACTGGACCGATTCACCAGAAAAATCACGATCCCTACTGGCCGCTATACCTACATTGAGTATGTAAAGAACTCAAAAACTGATCGGCGACTAAAGACATTCACGTTTTTATTTACAAGTGACTTCGTCACCAAATCAAATATTCATCTATAGCAATAAATGCACCATTTTTAAAATATAATATAATTCCAAATTTTTTTAATTTTGTATATACATCCTATATCACCGTTTCCGAGTAACAGACACATATTTAACCTATTTAATTAAATTGAACTTTTGTAGACAGTCAAAACACTTATATAATAATTTCGGTAGTTTAACTGCACAGATGTCACATTCAACTCATTCGTATAAGTCTCTTTACAGCATAATTGCGCAATAAGATCGATTTTAATTCAACCTATCTAATTGAAATATTGGTCTTTGATTTTGTCATGGCTTTTGTTTATTAGAGTACGCGACTTACGATAGATCTAAATGATCATCCGGTTGTAATTCAACAGATTGTAAGAATGCTTGTCGTGCGGATTCCTTGTCGCCTAATAACTGCAAAGCAATTCCTAAAATAGTGTAGACTCCTTCTCTAGAAAAATTTATTCGTTCTCCTGTCAAATACTTTTCTTGTATATCCGATTGAAGACCTTTGAGTGAATCTTGACATTGTCGGACATTATTCAGATGATAATGACAAAGAAAATTAAGGAAATAAGCATATGCTGTAGATGGAAACCAGTGTACTTCACTCAAATCTACCATTTCAAATTCATCCGGAATTAACGTAGAATGCATCCTGAATACGATAAAATCTACAAGCATTATTTTTTTTAGATACATTAAACTCTTCCTTTGGAATGATGGAAGTTTTAACAATTGGTAATGGATATCCGACATCGTCATGCCGCGGTACAGTTTTTCTTGAGTACATTTCGATAAAGAATACGTAATGATTAGTAAAGTTTTATTGTATTGCTTTGTCTTATAGAAAAGAGAAGCTACTGTCAGCCATCCAGATACGGCGTCATGATAGACATTCTGTATAAAAGTACTTAGACAGGATTTGTACTGTTTGTATCGGTATTTATTATAACTAAATTTACTTTCCAGTGGTATATTTTGGGCAAGTCCGTTAGACCACATTGACATGTAGTATTTATATAAGTATTTTATTGAAGATTGCTGACACAAAACTTTCCGTATTAGTCAATTTTTGGTTATATTCGATTCCACTTCTTCGGAACCAAGATTCACGGAAAAATTTGCATAAACAAATAACTTGGATATAAGTATTTTCTCAACGTCATTTACAAATAATGTATGTGGGTCGATTTGAAAATTCCACATTGATACCTGAAAGTTTGATAGTTGATCTGAAAAAAAGATGCATCGCCAACCATATCTATACAACGTACATAGTTTCTCTAAAAGTATTTCACGAGCACGGCCTTCTATTTTGTTATCGAACATGTTGTTTTCTGGAATGAAGTAATGCCAGCAAACTGAGTGCTCAACACAATAAACCAGCCTGCTAAAACATTGCATAAAACAAGGTATGATATTATCAGGTTTCCATACGGATTGTGGCAGTTCTTCAGATAACCAGAAAACAATTGTTTTCATGAAATAAGAACAGAGTAAATCTTTACATTCGGAGTAAGTAGCAATTACATCTTTCAAAAGAATTTTTAAAAGAGAATAGCACAGTAATTGAGTATGTGTAAAGGAATTTATTAGAAATTTTTCACCAACCGAAAAAGATATTCGCCATTCTAGATCCTCTTTTGGTGATCCCTTAACTCCGATCGGTACAAAAAGTACTCCGTGGTTTATAATACTTTGTTTGACATTATTACTCGGCCATGAGTTACTTGATCGTGTTATCCATTGTACGGCAGGTGATATCCACGTTCGACAATGTAAACAACTTGCTCCGTCAAAATCTCCTGATTTGTCCGATATACACGGTCCATGAATTAAATTAACTCCAGACAAGAACTGTTGTTTATATAATGCACTCGAATAATAATGTTTACCATAATGTCGCTCACAGCATTCAAAAACATTATGATGTCTGGTATATTCCAGTGTCAACAGTGTAAAACCGGGTTTTACATCGTCTCTTTCAATAGAAAAATACGTTATATTTTTATTAAAGCATTTTAAGTTTACATCCTCTAATACCTCGAAACTTGTATTTACAAACATTATATCTAAATCACTTCCACGCATATCTAGTCCTTCTCCAAAACTTCCACTGGTTATATCTGTTAGCTTTTCGTTACTTGTAATATCGTCCCTGACCATGTTCATCAATCTGATTGTTTTAACAAGATGTTCTGATCCTGCTATATTTTGACACAGATAGCGATACAGTGCTATTGATGTGTTTGGTATTGTAGTGTCTGTAATAAGTAGAATTAAATTAAAACTGTGAATAAATAAACTGATTACACAGAGATATGTCTCTCATATCGGCATAAAATTCAGAAAAAGACAATATGATGGACAGCAACATTGCTTATTAATTCAGTCACTGGACCATGATCTAGTGGGCAGGGCCCGAAAATGGTCGACAAACCGAAATGTTCAGGCAGTAATGTAACTTTATAGAAAATATCGTTGTTTATTGTAGATAGTTCCTATAATATAAATTAAGCAGAAAAACTGAAAATTGAAAATTGCTAATTGATTCGAAGTCACTGGACCATGTCCAAGGGGCAGGGCCTCAAAATAGTCGTCAAACTGATATGTACTGATAGTAATGCAACTTCATGCAAAATATAATTGATCTATCACAAGTAGATCCTATCAAACTAACTAAAGCAGAATATTTAACACTGAAAATTGCTAATTAATTCAAAGTCACTGGACCTTGTCTAGGGGACAGGGACTCAAAATAGTCGTCAAACTAATATGTACTGATATTAATGCGACTTCATACAAAATATCATTGATCTATCCCCAGTAGATCCTATCAAACTAACTTAAACAGAAAACTTAACATTGAAAATTGCTATTTAATTCAAAGTCACTGGACCATGTCCTAGAGGGCAGGGCCACAAAATAGTCGTCAAACTGATATGTACTGATAGTAATGCAACTTCATACAAAATATCATTGATCTATCCCCAGTAGATCCTATCAAACTAACTTAAGCAGAAAACTTAACATTGAAAATTGCTTATTAATTGAAAATCACTGGACTATGTCCTAGAGGGCCTCAAAATAGTCGTCAAACTGATATGTACTGATATTAATACAACTTCATACAAAATACCATTGATCTATCACAGTCAAGTAGATCCTATCAAACCAACTAAAACAGAATATTTAACATTTGAAAATTACTAATTAATTAGAAAGTCACTGGACCATGTCCTAGGAGGCAGGACCTCAAAATAGTCGTCGCAACCGAGACAATAATTATAAAATTATTATTCTGTAAGATATATATATATATATATATATATATATAGGTTAAGGCCATAAATGATAACTCTATTTCATCCATATTGAATATTTCTGTCTCTTGTCCATATTATATATCCGGCCGTCCGTTCAGGAAAACACATTAAACTTTAGACACCACCCAACGATCCTACATGCAACAGGAGAGATAATCTTACTAATTACTTCAGTATTGCAATATAAGGTAAGCACACATTCTCTTAAACGGTTTGACGGATATAGGAACTTTAAACAGTTTATACACAAGAATCACAACGTACAACCGACTCTTATCTTTTGTTTGAAAAACCCAATTTACGGAAATGTGTATACAATGCACAAAGAATCAGTTTTTCATAGTCTTCATTTTCTTCTCATCTCTGGCATGAAAGGGCACTTAATTGTTTCAGCCTCAAGGTTCGATATCGAAATATAACATCTAAATTAAAGATATATATTATATATAAAGTTTTTTTTTCATGATTTATACTGTTTATTTCGGTTTTTCGGAATCATTCCGATTAATGTTTTCTCTTGTTAGATGTGACGATCTACCTAAACAAGTGATTATCGATCATTATTCAGATATCCCCCAGGGCTTTAAAACAGTAGGATGGCGGAGGACATTTTAGCGTATTGCTAAAACATTTTAGCGAAAAAAAATCGGATGTTTTAGTGCTAAATGATAGTTCCTATTTTCATGACATTTTAACGAAATTTCAAATTAAAGAACCTTTGCTTACATACCCCGCGCCCCCACAATGTCACTGGGCAAACAAATTTAAATCTCACCAGATTCCTAAGTTCAAAGACTCATAACTCCTACAAAAGGCAACTTTTCTTGTGGAAATGCACGTCAACATATTATGTTTTTATTATCTAAAGTTTCATGAAATTCCTGTTGTGCGGTTTAAGAGGAGTTGTGCTGACAAGAACATTACTGACGGACGGACTGATGGACAGACGGACGAGTCAAAAACACTATACCCTACAAAACTTCGTTCCGTGTGGTATAATTATCAACCGTAGTAGAATAATAAATGTATATACATTTAGTATCAAGACAGTAATCATGTCAATTTACTAGATACAGCACTAAATGTCTAAAAATAATTAACACAAATTTTAGAAGCCTGTTCTAGCCTTGAATTTAGATCACAGTGAACGTACGTGATGGGGCTCTTGAGATACATGTACAATATGTTCAATACTGTTCATAAAATTGCGATATGTACTATTCCTTCTCTTGATATATTGTCTAAATGGAGGTGCAGATTCGTCGATAATTCTATCTTTATATATGTTATTGTTTGTAACTTGATTATGTAATAATAATACACAGAAAAACCTTCACATATTGCACTTTAATTTCCTGTTTGTTTCAACAATACATCTATTTCCATGATTAACCAAAATGTTCAGCCAGTACAAAATACTGTTCACTGTTTAGTATGGTCAGTATTATTTGACATGGGACGTTGTCGCTAAAATGGGCTTTCGGAAATATAGGTGAACAGATAAATCCGGCGCTAAATTGGGTTATAATGTCTGCTCTGAAATGTCCCATGGTAGTTTTTAATTTTTTCGCTAAAATGGCCTGCGCCCAATCAGGAGGACCTTTTGGATTATAATACAATAGGGTTATGCAATTGATTATAATTGCTAAAAAAAAAGGTAGTGGCTAACAAAATGAAAGCAAATTTGGACTACACCTTCAATAATATCGCAACTATTTAGTGAATACGGAAGATACTTTAATGATGGCGGTGATCTTTTGACGAATGAGGAAGATAATTTAACGATGGCGGTGTGCCATCATAAAATAGGTCATGGTGATCTCTGCGAATGCCTATAGTTATTTCCGATTTGTAATCCTTAAGACGTTTTTATATGACACTAAAACTAATTTTAAATAGTATTTGCAATTTTTGTAGACTAAAATTGAATCAGTTATATTTTGAGAATTATTTGTTTAGGTACCCCCTTTATAGAAGATCGTCCATGAATACAATGGACCATGATGTGCATGATGTATCCTAAGTCTCCGTGTGCATTTTAAATTAAACGGTTATATACAGACAGGGCATTGCGTCAATTTTGATCATGTTAACTTAAGTGCCTATTAATCGAATACTTGTTAGCTTATATTTCACTTGGTTTCTAGAAAATAGGACGATTTTGCTTATATTTATTAAAAAAACATCACAGAATTACAGAAGATCATGTCATTTTATAAATTAAAGGAGCCGGTAAGACTTATATTTCACTGAATCGCTTTAAATCTGCCAAATTAGATTTAACATGTGAAAGCACAACTCAAATCAATTCCTTATTTATGAATAAGGAGAAAATAAAATGAAGTTCAAACTGATTTCCTGACACACTCTTCGTGTATTACAGCGATGAGAGATCGTAGTCGTCGAGTTTGAAAAAAAATAAAGGTTGGTTATATAATGTAACTTAAAAAAGATGCATGTCAAGGGGGAGATAATCGAATGGGGGGGGGGGGGGGAAGAAGGGAGGGGGTCTTGTGAGTTCAAGTTTTTTTCCCCATTGGGTTAGACATGTATATTGCAACATGAGGGAATCAGAGAGCTTTATTATTCAGGATATTCCTTAAACCCTTCCGTTGCATAAGTCAAGGATATTAGGAAATAAATTCTTCCCGGTTTCAACCTTAAACCAAACAAATGTGACAGAAATATTAAACATTTGACGCTTATTTTATGCCCTTATTGGATGCAGTCTTTTACCGTTGCGTTGTTGGGTAAAACTAGGATATTGCCATATATCCCCGTTTTTGAAATTTTATTTGAAATCGAGGGTTATCTACGGTGAATATCTAAATACTTATTTTATTTCTCCTTCATGTTCATTGTTTACGTGTGTTGCTTTCATTTATAAACTACGTTGATGTAAATTCCTTTTGATTTAATGTTTCCATGAGAAAACAAAAACTAATGATATTATGAAATAAAACCTTTCCCATGCATAGTTAATAGCATTGTAAAAATATATATATACAAGTTATTGTTTTACCTCCCATCTTGTTAGCCTGTCGAGGTTAAGTGCAAAATGTGTATTTCCGAGAAAAATATCTACTTTGTTTCCGTTTAAAATTAAACGTATCAATAACGCCAACGCAATTCTTTGTAAGTACTAGGGCCAATAAGTCGTGATGTAATTTCACTTTTAGATACAATATATAGTCTTGTAACCTATTTCATTTTTTTTTTATTTCAGTTAAGTTTATAACATACACAGTTGTATATGTCCGTAGTATGGATAGACTTTACTTTGTTTTCCTTTGTTTAACTGATTTTCGATAAAAATAATAAAATGCTCCGTTGGGCGCACCTTGATACGATAGCAGAGGTCGATCCCAGTTGGGGCAAGTATGGACCTACATTCAAGCTTGATACAGCTCTGAATTTGGATGGTGATTAAATATTTGACACAGCATGGGTTTCTGACACAGAATGAATGTGGTTAAATAACTGAAAAATTTGAAATTGGACTTTTACCTATTATGGTCCAATATCCAAAATCTAAATACACGATTAGATTCAGCATATACAAGTACACCAAGAATTGAATTTATTTATTTATAAATGGACAATATTAGCTAATTTTTTTAAAGGGGTTCACTTCATCAACAAAAATATCATTCTGAAAATTAATTTATACAGAATAACAAACAAACCTACTATCTTCTTCCAAAAATTTACAAAAAAAATGAAAACAACAATTTCCATTATATCATTCATCATTAATACAATGTCTTTAAACTTACTTTTTTTCAAAATATCTGATAATGAACAGTAAATGTCTAAAATTAGAATTTGATGCTATATCTATTTTTAACTATGACTCTACTTACAATTTCTATATTAATTGTACAATACAGCTCTGAATTTGGATTGTGATTAAATATTTGACATAGCATTGGTT